AATCAGTATGAAGTAGATGTCGGTAGTCACTAATCTAGAAATCATACTTCAATTTTATTTCCAGACCCTTATATCGGACTGTTCGTTTGTCGCTTCTTTGTCTATCACTGCACGATACGAGAAGCGTTTTGGAAAACAGATTATAACAAGGTAATGCTGAATGCTTTTAAGAGATGTCACGGTCTCATTTAAATTTGTGTTTAGCATCATATATCCACAGAACCGAGCAGGACAACCAGTTTATAATCCTTCAGGGAAGTATATGGTTAAGCTTCACCTCAATGGTGTTTGGCGCAAGGTTTGTCAACGAATTTTTCAAACGTGTTCTTCTTTATAAACAATTTTCTATCTTAAATTCTCAAACGTGTTCTTCTTTATAAAATCAATTTTCTATCCTAAATTCTATGTCTAGGTTATCATTGACGACTATCTCCCAACAGGTGATAACTTGGAGTTGTTGTGTTCACACAGCCAAGAGAAAGGCGAGTTGTGGGTCTCTCTTTTGGAAAAAGCTTATCTCAAGGTCATGGGAGGTTACGATTTTCCGGGATCAAATTCGGTATGTTTTTTTTAGTGTGCTTTTCAAATTTTGATGCTGTTTCAACTTTTTGTAGAACATCGATTTGCATGCACTCACGGGTTGGATTCCCGATCGCATAGCTATCAAAAGAGATCTTACGCTATCTGATGGAAACCAGGCAAGTGTTCATGTGGTATTGTTACTTCTTATCTTGAATTTTTGCTGAATTATTTGCTTTGTGAACTGTCAGCTCGCATTAGCATGTGATTCACGTTTTGTTAAACTCTTCATATTATATTATCTTTATCATATTGTTAGAAAGCGGACAATAATCTAGTCTTGCTTTGCATTTTTGGATATCGTATAATGCCTTTTATTCTTTTAATGTTCTCCATACTATCAAAATACCGTAGCTCCAAGTTCCCGATTGTTACTTCTTATTTATAATTTTCCATACTTGCGTCCATTCTTTACTTTAATTCTAAGAAGCTTGTAAGTTTAGATATTCGAAAAACTTCTATCTCGATTTCATCGCGGAGACTGTCTGATTACATTAGCAACTGGAAAGCTGAGCGAAAGTATATGCGAAAGGGCAGGCCTTGTTGAATGTCATGCTTATGCTGT